TTAAAAAACTTTGTGAAATTTGATGATGAACCAAACACTGTATGTCTGTATAGAGAGAGCTAAATGATTTAAAAACCAAAACATAGATAGCTCGTTAAAAGTAAAAAAAAAAAATCCATTAACGAATGTTTTCAGAATACTGATTACTGAGAGAGAGATTGGTAAAAAAAATATTGTCAGTGCTAATATATTGTATTTAAAAATAGGAGTAAAACAAAAAAAATTGCTTTTTTTTTTTTAATTTATGTGAAAAAAGTTTTAAACGAGGGAGGGAGAGAATATTTTTTACAAATTTAAATACTACTTTTCATATTTTGTAATGTACGGTATATGTCTTTGAGATTATCAATTTACGTCTAAAAGTTCGATTATAATAAACATGTCACACAGAGAAGAGAAGCATCAAATAGCTTTTCTCTCTAAAGGTACAACACCAACGAATTACAATTATTGCCTTATTATTTAAAAAAGAAAGATTTGATAAAACTATAAGCAAGTGGTCAAACAAAATAGTAGAACGATCAAAAGAACATATATATATTGAAGTAAAAGTATCACCAGGAGAAAGGGCTCGCTCCTTGCAAGAACACTTCATTCTCCAAATCTTTTACCCTTTGGCACACCTGATTGCACATCTTTATCGCCATCGCCTGCCACAACAGTTTATTCATCGTCACAAAACCTATTTCCAGGTCTCTCATGGCTTTAACATGTTTGATTCCGATTTCCAACATCATCTTTAAGCTTATACATACATTACATCAGCAAGTTTAAAGTAATCTCACCTTGTCTGCAAGTGGATCGAATGCTGCGTAGAGTTCAAAATCTGGCGTGACCCAACATAGAAGAGCTGCAGTTATCACAAAAAACAAAACAAAGACCTTTTGTTAGTTCGCAGCAAGACGGTTTTCATCTTTTGATAACATGTGCACATTCAAACTTACTGTAATTCTCATCTCTTCTATATTGAGTTTTGTGGGGTCCCAATCCTTTGTCATGCATCGAAGCATAAAGTTTCTGGTATGCCCGATACAGACTGCAATATATAACAATATCTCAGTATTTTTCAATTCAAAATCATAAGCATTCTGGTTACGTAATCACATTGAGATTCATGACTTCACCTTTTCTGCTGTCTGTGACTAGTTACTGGAAGTGAGAATTCAGAGGATATGTATTGATCTAAGTATATACTGCGGTATATGAAATGCCAAAGTCCAAAGGGACCTCCTGTTCCCACAGATATGTCCCTTAATCTGTCGGGACCACCGGTATCTTGTCCCTGGTTATTAGTAGATGATGCTTTCTGTCGAAGCCGGCGGTCTATTGGCAAATCCTCAACACGCATTCCACCTTCCGCGATTGATCTTTGAACCATACTTAGAATATTTGACTTGAGAAGAACTGCCTCAATGCGAATCCTGACCATATACAAATTTATGGATCTCAATAACATGCCTATAGAAAGTGTTCGGCTTTTGATCATGTCAAATACACAAAGCGATTTGCACCTGCAATCTTTGAGATGATAGAAGGCCTCTGAACGTGTGGTAAGCAACATCACATATGTATCATCCTACAGCACCGGGTAAGTTAATATTTCACATTTGCACTGTAGATGAGTTTAAGAAGATCTTTACAAGTATTAAGTTATGACTCACATCAAAGAAGTGGACATAGGCATGCAGAAAGGCCTGAGGGTTGTATCTAGGTAGGCAGATTGGTGAGAAAGATTCTGATGTCCTGCTCGTAGAGAGGAAGTAGTGAGATCAAGTTACACAAACAAATATTTGATTCACAGTGGGCACATGGAAATAATATTTAGCATTTGCCTGAATGATTCTGAAGACATGACAAAATTTGAGAGTAGAAGCAAGTCATCTGGATGGAGAGAAGCTTTCTGCGCACCGGCAAGACTGATAACCTGCAAGCAAAACATAGTCATTAATACGATTGGATTTCCAGGCTGAATATTTTTGATCTTTCGGCCAAGAGCTTTTACCTTGTGTCTGCACATTAGTAGTGAGAACAAGACACCAGACGCGCAAACTTCTTGCAATATGGTCCCTGCAGCTTGCCTTAACGCATACTGAATGGGAAGACAAGTGTAGGCATGAAGAAATGTAGCTGGGTTCCTAAAGATGGGGAAATCGTCTCAAAGATTATTAGAACCTTTTTCTACCTGAAGCTTAAAGGTCGACCGAAAAGAGAGATGTAATGTGTGGAACAACTGTTGGAAGGACAATAAACAGACTACAGCATTCCGATAAACCTTAGAAGCTTGTACGTATGCTTAGAAATTGTATTATATACTTTGGTTATAACTGGAGATCTTAGTCCTCGGCCCAAAATCCCTTTATTACTATTTGTTAAAATATGTATATCTTTAACTACATTGTTGGTTTCTAACAGACAACTGATCCATGAAACCATGTGAACTTTTCCGGCAATTCCATTAAAAACGTGCTCATTACCCAGATATTCTTATGGATCAGATCATAACTTCTAACATAAAGATAAATAAGTTTAAATTTCCTCCAGATTAGAAAGCCATCACATTGAAGAGACTGGTAGAACTTCAGCAGCCTCAGTCTCCACGTTAATATTCAAAAACAAAATAATAAGAAAACAATGTGAAAGGCAGTTGACTTAAAGAGTTGCAAATTAGAGACAAACCAGCTAAATGAATGGACAAGAGATGAGAAGACTGCATCTGTCCCTCCAAGCAAGGGTGACATGTCGAACTTTGCATTCTTCTCGAAACATCTGTCTATTGACTTTGTTAAAATTAGTATCATCTGCATCATCAATATTACATTTTGGTTATATAAACCGCTTACTTGAACATGACAAAGTTCAGAAGAAAGGATACAGAGCAGCCGTCTGTTGTTACCTGACCATATAGAAGATCCAACTGCCCCCTTAAATAATCATACGTTTCATCTGTACAGCTGATGCAGACCAGGTATATTGGACCCTTCACGAGAAAGACAACCTGAATTTGACCAGAAAGTTGATCTTTAAAACTCTTGTAATCTTCTTATCAGCAGAGATTTTAATCATTACTTATACACGAGTTATCTCTCTAATCAATATCTCCAGTCATAATGTAAATGAACAAACCACTTCTCCCATGGAAATTCTATGCACCAGTGTATCTGATGGTAAACTATTAAAGACACCACTGCGAAACTATATAATTATTGGTGCAAGGAATTTTGAATACCTGGTGTTTTCCTGCCTTGACTAAATTGACACGGTCACCACTAAAAGAACAATGGGTTAGG